TGTACCATTGAAGGCTTATTTCATGGCCGCGACGACGGGGGGGCTGTTATTTCTCATTCATTGCTTCTGAAGCGTGGGGGAATGAGATCTCAATACTGCTCTCAGAAGTTTGCTGCGTTGAGACGGAAGTGGCCTCAGATTCATTGCACACCAGACTTCAAACAAGAAGAGCCGGCCATGACTCAGCTTTTGAGGTGGGCCGTTTTTGATCAGAAACTATGGTCTGGAGTGGCCATGGACCAAGTGCGAAAAAATGTTGTTTGTCTTGTCAAAGACAAGAGTGACCGGCACTTTGCCGAGCTGAAACGAGCAGGCGGCCTTTGCCAAACAAAGGCTGAGTTTGTGCAGTTTTTGACTAGCGCGTGCATCGACTACGGTCGTTCTTTTGGAGTGTCGGCAGCCACTTGAGTTGAAGGTAAAACTTAGCGAACTCACCTATCTGACAATTCCTGGGCAGTAACCTTTGGTTGCCTGTGCTGTCCTTAAGACATTTCAGTGGACAACAGAGCTGACTCTGTGACTCTGCCTCCTGCTTCGAAGGAGGCAGAGTGGTCTAAGGTAGGCCCCACTGGTCTCCTGTGAGACTTTGCGGCCAAGGTGGTCCAGGGTCACCTCGCGAAGCCGGGCCGGTCTGGCTCTGCGAGCGAGCAGACCCTGTTAAATCCCTAGGGTCCCCTCGCGAAGCCGGACCGGTCTGGCCTTGCGAGGAGAGGGAGTTAAAAATCGACTTAACCCTGGGAAACGGCTGTAACAGGGTTACGTGGAAATTTAACAGGATCACCTCGCGAACCCGGACCGGTCTGGCTCTGCGAGCGAGCCCTGTTAATTTAACAGGGTCACCTCACCGAAAATTTCGAACATTTCTTGGCGAGGCAGGGGTGGGTCAGCTCTGTCTGTGCGCTTGCCATGTCTAGGTTCAAAGTGATTGGGCCGCAGTCCCATAACAGACCAGGAAGTTAAACAATAGTCATCTACCTTAACTGAAATATTTTGCAATTAATTTTCACAGTTGACCACTGTAACTGCCACTGACTAAGATTATCAATTTTGGAGCCTGTAGCGCCATGCCCCCGACAAGGGAAGTTGAGAAAGATAAGCTGACCAAGCTCGTGGAGAAGCTCAAGGCTTATGTCAAGGAACATAAAGATCGGCCATTCAAAAGAAGGCCGGCTGGATCCAAGCTTCGAATTTTTTCGGACTGCGCAGGAATTAGTCCAGAAACGATCGCCATGACACTGCTGGGTCTGAAAAATCATTTCACCATTGTAGGTGGCAGTGAGAATGATGACTCCAAGCGACTTCTCGCAGATGTGGTTCATGAGGCTTGCCTGACCACCAGTACATCGGCTGTGTTCGCTGAGGACATCTTTAAGAGAGATCCACGAGACTGCTCGCCTGCAGACATCTACTTGGCAGGATTCCCTTGCCCAGCATATTCAAAGTTAGGCCTCAGATTTGGCTTGAGGGATTCCAAAAAGAGAGGAATTCCTATGGTGGCTGGACTTCGGTACATAGTGTACCACAAGCCGCCAGTGGTGCTCTTGGAGCAAGTGACTGGGTTCTTAGAAAAAAACATAAGCTGGCTCAAAAGATGCTTCGCAAGAGCTTAGCTGCTTGTGGATACACTGTCCGTGCAAAAATCTTGCAGACTGCAGAGCACGGTTTGCCTCAGAGCCGTCCACGCCTTTGGG